TCCAGCGTGACTGGGTCCGTGTAAAAGGGGGAATGTGGACGCAGAGACAGACTCCCACACAGGGAGGCGCCGCGTGGAGGCGAAGGCAGAGACCTGGGGGGTGCTTCTAAAACCAGGATCCCCAAAGATCAGCAGCAAACCCGGAGCTGGGAAAAAGCCTGGAACAAAGCCTCCCTCACGGCCTCAGAGGAACCCGTCCTGTCACCACCTTGGCTCAGACTTCCAGCCTCCAGAGCTGAGACAATAAATTCCTGCTCATTAAGCTGCCCGGAGTGTGGCGAGCTGTCACGGCGGCCGCGGACACTCACCCGCCCCCCAAGTAGAGGATGTGTTTCAAGACGCAGCAGCTAAGCCCTCACACTTGTGCGGACGCCCGGGAATGGGGGGGGAGCCCAGAACACAGTGGGGGGCGTCGCCTCTCATCCCTCCCACCCGGGCGCCCTCCAGCCTGGTGCGCCGTCTCCACAGGAAGGAGGATGGGGAAACAACCCCGTCTACACTGGGGACGACCCACTTCCAAAAGTGTCCTGTCCATCACTTCTCCCCCTGAATTTTCCACCCCTGGAGTATTTTACAGGAAACATAATCCACGTGATGCTGAGTCACTGGGCTCGAGCTCAGCACAAAGTCGTTTGCAAGAAAGATTTTATGTCCACCTTGGGCCTCTTTTCTCAGAAAAAGGAAGTCATTTTCAGCCAGGAATAAACAAACTTGGCACCAGGCAGGTTAGGTCTACACAAACCCCCGGGCGGCCTGCTGGCTTCCTAGTGGGCCAGGCTTCACTTCCAGGCCCTTTTCTGCTGAGACAAGATGAGCTTGCCTTGGGCCAACTACCCACAAGACCCGGGCCGGCCAGCCCCTGGGCCCTGCTCACTTCCTTCCTCCCAGCCTTGTTGATCTGGTGCCCACGGCCTGGAACAGCAGCAGCCTAGGACATGTGACCTGGGGCCACTCAAGTCATCGTACAGGGTGACGGTGGCCCATTCATATGGGGTGATGGGGATCCAATCATACGTCATACAGGGTGACGGGGCCCATCATATAAAGTGACAGTGGCCCATTCATACAGGGTGATGAGGAGCCCATAATACATATAGGGTGACAGTGGCCCATTCATTTGGGTGATGGGGATCTAATCATACATCACACAGGGTGACGGGGCCCAGTCACAGAACAGGGTGAAGAACAGAAGCTGTAGGATCATGGCGGCACCACTTCGGCTGTTTGCACCTGAGCCCACGTTCACACGGTGGGACCGCTGTGCCCCCGATACTGTTGCTGTAAGAATTCGGCAGGTCGGTGCTCACAGCCCTCCTGCCACACTGCCTGGCGCGGAGCACGTGCTCAGTAACAGGTAAATGGCACGCCTGCCGAGCGATCACAAGGAAATTCGCCGGCGTGAGCACAAAGGCTAATGCGGTTCCCGCATGTTTCTCAATCCCTAGGGCCCAGCGCTGTTTCTGGCACACGGTGGGAATGTCATTTCATATCTTCTGAATTAAAGATAAATAAAGAACAAATGAGCGAGGGTGAAGGAGCATCTGCCCCTACGTATCCGGCAGCAATCCCAGTTACTCGCGCTCGTCCTCTGTCTGTTAAACGTGACTCCTTTGAACCTCCCTGTTAAGCAGGGTTTTATCTTCCAGGCAAAATGTGACAGGGAATTTTTCATTTTTTTTTAATTTCAGCATAACTGCCCAGGTGCAGGGACATTGGCCTCACCAGGATGGGCAAGGAAATAAAAAAAAAATGGAAACAGTGATCGCAGGTGAGTCCAGAGCGGCAGGTTGAAGTTTTCAAAGATGGCTGAGCGATCGCTCACAGCCCACCACTGCTCTTCCGCAGGGCGGCCCGCGGGCCCCAGCCAGGGGCCCAGCCCTCCTCACTGGCCCCTGGGCTGGCCGCAGTGACTTGCTTGCCCAGCAGAAGTTCCGGAGCTTCCAAGGCGAGGTCGTTAAGAGAGCTTCAGCCTGCCCTCAGGACGCTGGCTCCGGGCCCCGGCCGCCATGCTGTGAGAAGTCAAAGCCACGTGGAGAGGCCACGTGTGGGAGCGCCAGCCCAGAGCCCCTGGGAGCTGACAGCTGACCGCGGACATCTTCCCCGGGCTTGTGGACAAAGGCACCATCCAGACATCCACTCCATGGAGCCTCAGACGACTCCAGGCCTGGGCATTAACTGATTACAGATGTATCAGAAACTCCAAGCCAAGATGGCTGGACAAGCCAGGTCAGCCCAGCACGGTGGGAGAGAATCGCCATGTGCTGTTTGAAGCCACTAAGCTTTGGGGTGCGTTTTTAGGCAGCAATAGACAAGCGGAGAGGGGAAGAAGGTGACCAACAGGATAAAGGGAGAGGCAAGGGAACAGGACTCAGGCCTGGTGGGAGGAAGGAAGGTGTCCCTAAAAAGGCAACGTGTGAGCTGAGATGAGGGTGACAGGAAGCTGGCCGGAGGAGAGTGTGGCAATGGGGGCGGGAGCCTGGCCCACTGTAAGGTGCAGTGGACGGACAGACGGTGAGGATGGGAGTTCTAAACGCAAGGTGGGAAGCAGGAAGTGGCGTGGCCAGACTCTGCCCAGAGCATCATCCACTCCTGCAGGGCAGTCCGTCAAGAAGGACTGCACAGAGGCGGGGAGGGAAGACGGTCACGGGGCGGGGTGGGGGCAGAGCGGGGCGTGGCCAGGCCTCTGCCCGTCACGGACACATACTCCTCCAGTTGGCTGCCCCCACGCCCCCGTCCCCCGAGGACAGCCTCTGGGCGGGGGTGCTGTGCGCCCGGGGCGCAAGCCTGCGGGCGGGGCGACTTCGCCCGGGGCTCGCCTTCTCCAGTCCTGGCTGCATGCTTCCTGGGAGGGGAGACAGCAGACCCCCCAGAAGGCGGCTCCAGCCTGCTGGAGAGCATGAGTCTCTCTGCTGGTCCTCTTCCACGCGGAGAGGGAAGTGCGGGCGTTTCCCGCGTGCTCCGCTGGCCACCTCCCGGGCGCCAGTAACTCGATGGGTTTCTCACATTTTCACTTAAGGAGAGCGTATCTCCTTAAATAAAGCGCTTGGAGGCCTCTTTCTAGAGCAGTGGGTTGCAGACTTCTCTTTGGACCCCGGGGGGGGTGGGGGGGCGTGTCACCGGACAGCCTGAGCGCACCTGGCAGGTGGGCCCCACCGAGGGGCCGAGACCTCGCCCAGCAGCTGCCGTCCGCTCTGCTCTTCACACACAAAAAACGCAAAACCCGTTTGTGTCTCACAACCTAAATTCTAGAAGCCCTGGTCCGGAAGCCCCCGGATGCGGGCTGGGGGAGGAGCCCCCTGCCTGCAGGGTGGGGGCCCGGGCCTCGTCCCAGACGCGGAGCCCGAGCTTCCCACCACCGCCCGAGGGGAGGCCGGCCGCCTTCGCTGGG